TAACACAATTATAGGAGACAGGTAAAGTAATACTTAGTGGGAAATTTATAACTTTAAACATCTGTGTCAAAAAAAGAAAGGTCTGGGGCACTTGGGTGGCTCAGTGGGTTAAGCCTCTGCCTTCGGCTCAGGTCATGATCTCAGGGTCCTGGGATCAAGCCCCACATTGGGCTCTCTGCTCAGCAGGGATCCTGCTTCCTCCTCTCTCTCTGCTGCTTCTCTGCCTGCTTGTGTTCTCTCTTTCTCTGTCAAATAAATAAATAAAATCTAAAAAAAAGAAAAGAAAAAAGAAAGGTCTGACATTGATCATCCAAGCTTCCACCTTAAGACACCCCCCAAAAAGTAGCATATAAACCCAGAGCAAGGCAAAGAAAGGAAATAATAAAGATGAGAGCAGAACATGATAAAATAACAGAAAAATAATAGAGAAAAATCAGTGAAGGTAAAAATTTGGTCTTTGAAAAGATAAAACTGACAAACCTTCAGCTAGATTGACCAAGAGAAAAGAGAGAAGATACATATTAGCAAACTCAAAAATGAAAGACAGCACTATGGCTTCTACAGAAATATAAAGGGATTATAAAGGAATGGCATCATCAATTTTATGCCACCAAATTTGGCAATTTAGATGCAATAATCTTATTCCTATAAAGATACAAATTATCAAAACTGACTCAAGAAGAAACAGAAAATCTGAATAGACATATAATAAGTAAAGAAATTTGAATCAGAAATTTAAAACATTTCCATAATGAAAAGCCCAGACCCAGATGATTGTATTGGTGCTTTCTGTCAAATGTTTATCGAAAAAAATGCCAATCCTTCCCGTATTCCTTCAGAAAATAAAGGAGGGAGGAACACTTATTAACTCATTGTGTAAGGCCAGTATTATCCCAATGCTAAAGCCGGACAAAAACATAGTAAGAAAAGAAAACTTTAGACCAATATCCCTCATAAACATAGATGGAAAAATTCTTAACTACAGACAGAAGGTCCCCAAATTACAATGGTTCAACTTACAGTTTTTTGACTATGTTGATGCAAAAGGAATAGGCATTCAGTTGAAACCATGCTTCAGTACTTCAAATTTTGAGTTTTGATCTTTCCTGGGGCTCATAATATGTGGTACCATGTTCTTTTGTAATGCTGGGCAGCAGCAGTAATGAGCCACAACTCTCAGTGAGCCACATGATCAACAACTGATAGGCTTACAACCATTCTGTACCAATACAGCCATTCCATTTTTCACCTTCAGTACAATATTTAGTAAATCACATGAGGTATTCAACACTTCATTATAAAATAGGGTTTGTTTTTTTTTTTTTAAGGTAATTTTGCCCAACTATAGGCAAATCTAAGTGTTCTGAGCACTTAGTTTAAGGTAGGCTAGGCTAAGCTATGATGTTTGGTAGGTTAGGGGTACTAAATGCAATTTTTTAAAGATTTTATTTATTTATTTGAAAGGGACAGAGGGAGAGAGAGAGTCCTCAACCAGACTCCCCACTGAGCACAGAGCCCAGCGTAGGGCTCGATCCCACAACCCTGAGACCATGACCTGAGTTGAGACCAAGAGTCAGATGTCCAACTGACTGCACCATCCTGGTGCCCTACATGCATTTTTCAACTTAACTCTGTCTTCATCCTATGATGGGCTTATTGAGATGTAACCCCAGTGTAAGTTGAAGAAGAGCTGTATCAGCAAACTGAATCCAGCCACCTGTAAAAAGGGTTATATCCCATTACCAAATGGAATTTATCCCAAAGATGCAAGGTTGGTTTAAGATCTGACATCAATTAATGTAAGGCACTATAATAGATAATAGAACAAAAAGACAAAACCTGTTGGCAAAATACAACATCTGTTTATCATAAGAAATCTCAGTAAAGTAGGACCGGAAGGGAATCTTCTCAACCTGATGGATAGCATCTACAAAACCCCATAGCTAATGTCATACTTAATGGTGAAATTGAATGTTCTTCCCCTAAGATTGGGGACAAAGGAGTGAGGTTCCACTCTTTTTTTTTTTTTTTTTAAGATTTTATTTATTTATTTGACAGAGATAACAAGCAGGCAGAGAGGCAGGCGAGAGAAAGGAGAAAGCAGGCTCCCCTCCGAGCAGAGAGCCTGATGCGGGGCTTGATCCCAGGACCCCGGGATCATGACCTGAGCTGAAGGCAGAGGCTTTAACCCACTGAGCCACCCAGGCGCCCCTGAGGTTCCACTCTTGCCACATCTAAGCAACACTGTGCTTATACTGAAATTTCTATCCAGTGCAATTAGACCAGAAAAATAAAAGGAGTCCATACTGGAAAGGAAGAAATAAAACTGTCTTATATGACATCCTGTGTGTAGAAAATCCCAAGGAATCCCCAGATTGATTGATTAATTAATTAAGAAACAATTTCTTTTGGGACATGTGGTGGGCTCAGTAAGGCATGACTCTTGATCTTGGGGTTATGAGCTCGAGCTCCACTGTGGATGTAGTGGTTACTTGAAAATAAAATCTTAAAAAAATAAAATTTTATTCACAGTAGAATCAAAAAGAATAAAATAGTTGATTATAAATTGAATAAAGAAGTGTAAGACTTTGTACCCTGAAAAGTATAAAACGTTGCTGAGAGAAACTATAGATATAAATAATATTGAGAAACATTACATGTTCATGGTTTGGAATACTTATTTTTGTCAAGATCGCATTTCTCCCCAAATTGATTGATAAATTCAAAACAATTCCTATCTCAATTCCAGCAGATTTTTTAAAATAAGAAACTGCAAGGTGATTCTAAGATTCACAAAGAAATGCAAAAGATCTAGAATTTTAAAAGAACTAAAGTTGAAGACTCAAACTACCTCATTTTAATACTTATAAATCTGTAGGAATCAGTGATATAGTGCTCAAGGATACAGGCAGTATCGGCCGAGGGACAGGCATGTAGCCAATGGAACAAAATTAAGAATTTAGGGGAAAAAAATCTTAACACTGATTGATAATTGACTTGCAATAAAGGTGCCAAGACAATTCAATGGGTAAAAGTATTTTCAACAAATTGTGCTGGGACGATTAGAAATCCACATGTGAAAAAGTGGTATTAAATCCTTACCTTAAACCACACACAAAAAAATAGGTCATAGACCCAACATGGGTTATTGACCTAAGTGTAAGAGCTAAAGTATAGAACTCTCAGAAGAAAAATAGGAGAAAATCTTTTTATCTTTGACTTAGGCAGAGAGTTCTTAAATATGACCAAAAGCACAGTCCATAAAAGAGAAAACGATGAAGTTGACGTCATCAGAATTAAGAATTTCTGGTCTTTGAAAGATGCTGTTAAGAGAATAAAAAGACAAGTTCCAGACTGGGAGAAAATGCTTATAGATCCTAAATCTGATAAAGGACCTGCTTCCAGAATAAACAAGGAACTCCTAAAATTTGGGATTAATAAAACAACCAAATCTTCAAGTGGGCAAGCTATTGAAATAAACATTTTGCCTGAGAATATATACTCAGGTCTCATAGCCACGTGAAAAGATGCTCAACTTAGTCACTAGGAAAGTGCAATTAACAATATGAGATGCCACTAGAATTCTACTCACCAAAACGGCTGTGATGAAGACAGGGACAGTACCAAGTAAAGAAACTGAAACCCTCAGAGAGTGCTAGCAGGCGTATGAAATGGTATAGCCTCTTTGGAAAGCGGTTGCACAGTTTCATAGGACATTATTCCCGATAGCCCAAAATCAGGAACAGTCCAAATGTCTATTGACTGGTGAGTGAATAAAATAATTGTAAATCCACACAATGGACTATTATTCAGCAATAAAAAGGACCGAAGTACTGATACAAGCTACAGCATGAGTGAACCTTGGAATTGTCTTGTGAAGAGAAGTCGGACACAAAAGGCCACTTACTGCATGATTCCATTTATATGAAATATCCAGAAAAGATACCTTTGTAGAGCCAGAAATTAGACTGCAGGGCTGGGGTTTAGAGTGGGGCTTAACTGCAGATGGGCACAAGAACCGTTTGGAGTGCTGGAAAGGTTCTAAAATTGGGTTGTGGTGGTGGTTTCCAGCTCTGTCAATTTACTGAAAATCACCCAATTGTACACTGACAGGCGAATTTTATGGTATGTAATTTATATCTCAAAGCCATTTTAAAAAAAGATTTTATTTCTTTATTTGACAGAGAGAGGGAGAGAGTGTATAAGCAGGGAGAAACAGGCTCCCCACCAAGCAGGGAAACAGATGCAGGGCTCTATCCCAGGACCCCAGGATCATGACTTGAGGTGAAGGCAGATGCTTAACTGACTGAGCCACCCAGGCGCCCCAGAAGATTTTATTTATTTATTTAAGAGAGAGAGGAAGGGAGGGGGAGAGGGAGAGAGGCTGAGGGAGAAGCAGGCTTCTCAGGACACCAGGATCATGACCTGAGCTGAAGGCAGATGCTCTCAAAACCACTTTTGGAGGAATTTTCTCACTTTCTTGGGTTTTTTATGTGCTTACGTTTTGAGGGCTCTTCTAAATCCTGATGCAACAAGAATTGATTTGTTTACCTTGTCACATAAATACTCTGCTTATGTATTTTAATCTCTCATTAGAATGACAGTTTTTAAAGAAATACCTATATACGTGCCTGCCTTTGTTTCAGATGCGTTCTTCTAGCACCTCCCTGTGTGTCTCAGTTCCATCCAGAAAGCTTTTGAGTTCATCCTCAGTTAAAGTTTTACCATTCATTCTTTCAGTGGTCTTGTCTTTAACAGATTCTTTTCAGGAGAATAATAACCACAGCCTGTAATGGTTTTTATGTGCTTTTAATGTTCTTTGGTAAATTCTTTAACACATTTTCTCAATGAGAATTTAAAGTCTTATTTTTAAATTTGTTTTTGTTTTTGTTTTTTTCATTTGGGTAGAATTGACTTATATTAGTTTCAGGTGTACACAGTCTTATTTCTGAAAGGCACCTTGGTTTTAATTGTATGCTTCTCTTTTCCTTTGAAACTAGAATATGCTTCTCTGGGATCACTCTATGATTACATTAATAGTAACAGAAGTGAAGAGATGGACATGGATCACATTATGACCTGGGCCACTGATGTAGCCAAAGGTAATAAGACTTCCTGTATTCTTACAGAATTGGTGGGGCACGTTTTCCCATTGTGACATGGTGATTTAAGGACAAAGGTTTGTTATTCTGTGTCTTTAGATGTCCCTTTTTCAGTCTGCAAGTAGCAAGAATTGTGCAACTTTCCTTACAGGTTATTTTAATTCCAGTATAGTTATATAATATAGTGTTACATTTGCTTCAGGTGTACAATATAGTGATCCCCAATTCTGTGTATTAGTCCTTATCACAAGTGCACTCCTCAATCCTCTTCACCTGTTCCACCCTCCACCCCTTCCCTCTGGTAACCATCTGTTCTCTATAGTTAAGGGTCTTCTCTTGGTTTGTCTCTCTCTCTTGGGGGAGGGAGGGGTTAATAGATATTTTAGGTCACTGCCTTTCCACTCCTACATTTCTTTTCTCTATTCACTTTATTTCTTTCCCTAAAACTATGTTCCAACATAATCCATAACTCCAAGGCAGCCATTTTTGCCACATTTTGTAACGTTGTAATTGACCAGCCTGCTTGACACATTAAATGGAAAGCTCATAATTCTGTTGTTCCACAAGTCTCCTCTTAGACTCAGTATCCAGAAAATGTGATTTATTGTAGGATTAGTTCTACTTATTTTGTGTACATAATAATATGCTAAAAATCGTAACCACTTTCAAAAAAAAGTTTTATTTGCCCTGCCATGTGAAAGCAATTCAGATTTTTATTTTCTATTTAATGTAAACTTGGAAATCACCCTGGAAATGAAATATTTTTAATACACAAAACCCCTAAACAAGGTGCCCAGTTCTTTTCCCCTCATAAATTCTGACATAGACTAATGCTTTCTAAAGCAATTTAAGTTCCATTTATTTTTATCTTTTTTTTCCATTTTCCTAACTGAAGGTTTCTGAGTTTTATTTATAACTGTCAAAGTTGCTTTGGAAACAATCTAAATAATGAACACTGATAGTTACATTTGTATTCTAGCAACCCCTAGAAAGCAAGTGTGTCCACATTTTACCAGAGCAATTCACTCCTTGCATTTTGGCTCCTCCAATCTCTAAAAGCTTCTCTTTACAAAGCAAGGAAAAGGATATTTAGCGCTCAGTAAGGAGAGCAACTCACACTCCGCTTTCACCGGGAAGTCATACAGTAATTTCCAAAAGTAACAGTCTTCCCGTTGGGGAATTTTCTTGTCAGTTTTAAGTTTCATCAACACCTGCCAAATTCTTCAAATAGGGAAAGTGAAGAAAAAAATTTTTTTTAATTTCATGCAAAATGCTGCTGCTGAACGATACTTCATTACCTTATAAGAATAATAAGCTCTATGTTTAGGATGGTGTACTTAAGGCTTTGGCTGTGTTAATTAGCTTAATTGTGTATTCATGCATCAGGCATTTCCAATCAGACTTAAATTTTCGCATTCTTCAAGACATTTTCGTGTAACATCGTAGTCACGTCTGTATGTATCAGTAGTTCACCGGAACCACGTGTTTGTAAGCCGAGGGACGTGTGTTCACGGGGAGCTCCATGAAGCATTGTGGAAATACACTTCCATAAATGTGTCTGTATATCCGAGCAGTCTTTGACTGAATGCACTTTACCTTACAGACCTTTGCATTTAGGGTGCTTAGCCAGTTACACCCATGGTATGACTTACTGGCATTTAGGATAGACAGACAGCAAACAAATCAACTGACAGCAGTCACTCTGCCTCCTGCTGTGCACATGCTTCTTTGCCTCCCTCCACTGCCCCCTCCAACCCCTCTTCTTCCCCTCCCCACCTGCCAGGCCTGTAAACCTTGTCCCATAAAAACCTTGTCCCTCCTGGCCTTTCCCCAGTGCAGTCCCTGTCTAAGGGGCAAGTCCCTTGGCTCCAGATCAGCTCAGTTATTCTGGGCTTTCTCCAGATCACTGGCACTCTGTCAGAAGGACAAAGAAGAGAGAGAGCAGGGCTCATGAAGTAGCAGACTGGAACTGGAGGTAAAGACTAGGGGTGGAGGGAATGAGATGGGGGGGCGGGGCACACAACACTGTGTGCTAAATCATAGCGCAGGGAAATCCCTTTCTCATGGCTGGTGAATTGCCCCGAGAGGCAGGTTCTCCTCTTTCTGGCCCCAGGTGAGAGGAGTGGGGCAGAGAAGAGACTTATTTATTGATAGTCAAAGTAACACTTACTATTTAAAATGGCCTGTAAAAGGAAGAGGAAATCCGTGCTTTTGGAATGACTTCACCTCTCTCTGGTAGAACAGGGCACAGAACTCGGAGCTGAAGCAGGAAGCCTTGATTTTGTCACTATTTAGCTGTGCACCTTTCAGTCTGACCAAGATGGAAGACACAGAATCAACAAGATGTTGAGAAATCAAAGAGTGAAAAATTCATTTCAAATTAGAGTTGATTCATGCATTTTGAAGTAGGCATTGCTTAACATCACTGCTGAGAGAACACCTCCTCAAAGCCAGGAAGAAAATAAAAAGCCTGTCTCCTTTCTGGGTAGGAAGGAAAGTGGAGGGTCGGCCGGCAGGTACATCTGAAAGTGCCGTGAGCCCCTCCCAGTGTGTAAGCAGAAGGATTCAAGTGGGTGAACCGGGACCCAGTCTCAGAAGGGTCCTCACTGATTCCCCATCTCCCCCTTCGAATGATACCAGTCAAATCTTTTTTAGGAACCCTGAAGCTCAAAACTGATGATGGTGTTTTTTTTAGCCTTCTTCATTGTTCACTGCAATAAAAATAAGGCAGAATTGTGGAGGGCTCTATAAAAACAGATTTTTATGTGATTGTGATTACTACTGTGTTTATGCACACTAATTGTAAATGCATACTGTACATTCTACACATATAACTTATGGTATTTTTCTCTCATAACATCTGCCATAAGGAAGAAAAGGCCTCTGTTTAAAGCTTTAGTATCTGAATGTTGTTTTTGGAGATCTTCACTGTCAGCCAGTATAGACACTATGGAGCCCTGCCTCTAATGGTAATTAAACAGATTCTACCTGAATTTGGTTCTTAAGAAAGAGGTCACTATGAAATCCTAGAGGTTATTAAAAGTTACGCAGGTTGTATGTAGTTCTTGCATTTTCAGTATGTAGTGTGGAGAACTTTGTGTTAGAAGAATGCTCTCCTGTATTCTAGCTATATCTTGATTAAGATTGCTAAAAATTACTGATACTTTTGTGAACTTGACTCTTTTTCAGTCATTTTCTTGTATTATAGGAGTTTAAATTTTTTAATTTTCTTTGTTCTTACATGACCTTCAATATCTAAGAATCAGAGTGGTAGAAAAATAATAGATTATTTTAAAAATTAGCCTTTATAAAAATGAAATTTTCTATATACTCAAAAAAAGAACCAAAACCTACTTATGACATGTAGTGGATAGTTCATTAACAAAAAGAGCTTGTGTGGTTGTGGCAGTGGGGAGGCTTTTTCTTCCATTATTTAGAAAAGACAACTTGAGAAGTAAAGGGAAAGGAAATGTATTTCAATAGAAAATACTCTTTTTCTTTATTCTAAGGAGGTATATGATACATAAAGAGAGAGAGTCAAATGCTACTAAGAGGATCACTATGAAATATGTGTCTTTTAAAGTATAATTTTAAGATATATAATTTATTCAAAATAATAAAACTATTTGTATATACATTCAATTTACTGAAGTAACTTGATATGCATTCTAAATATGTTGGAGAGAATTTTGGAGTACAGTTAAATATAGATTATCCCGAAGATCCATCCTTATAAAAGAGAGTTTTTTGTAACTACTGTAAATTTTTCTGAGTACTTTACCAACCACACTTATGAATCCAACCAGTTTTTCCCCACACCCTCACCTCTCCCAGGGTCTTACTGGAAAGAGTACTGAGAAAATAACGGGGTAGCTACAGACATCCAAATGAAAGCCGAAAACCTTGGTTGGAACTTTGGCTGATCGTAGTCATTGGACCACTTCCTCCAGTTGTAACTGTGCTATTTTTGTGGAGACTACAGAAAATTAAGGTGTCCTTATTAGGTATTGTAATAGCTTTACCCACAATCAAGTTCTAACTTCTAAGAGATTAAAGCACATGAATTTTCCAGTTTTCCCAATGCAGACATATCCTGTCTCTATTTTATCAATCATATAAGAACAGAGCACATGAATTTTGTTTCTGCCATTGAATCCTTTGCAAAAATATGAAAGGTAATACTGATGTTTTAAAATGGAAAGTTAATACCAGTGCAATGTTGAAAAAATGATACTAAATGCTGTTCTTCCTTTTTGTATGAAAAGGAATGCACTATTTACATATGGAGGCTCCTGTCAAGGTGATTCACAGAGATCTCAAGTCAAGAAATGGTAATGTAGTCCTAAGTTTTTATTGCCTATTTTATTATGAAATATATACACCTTGTTGTAGAAATAGTCTCATGTTTTTCATATCTTTTGTACCCTGATGTTTTGACTCATCATTGATACCATGAAAATCTTTCCAATCTTGATAAATATCAGAATTCTTTATGTTATTTCAAGAAGCTGTATAGTATTCCATTGTATAAACAGCACAGAATATGTATATTTGGGTTGTTTACATTTTTTTCTGTGATAAAAAATGTTGAGCTTGATACCCCCAGCAAAAATTTTTAAAACATCCTTAGTTATTTCTCTAGAATCACTTTTTTTTTAAAAGATTTTATTTATTCATGTGACAGAGAGAGAGAGAGATCACAAGTAGGCAGAGAGGCAGGCAGAGAGAGAGGGGGAAGAAAGCTCCCCGCTGAGCAGAGAGCCCGATGCGGGACTCGATCCCAGGACCCTGGGATCAGACCTGAGCCGAAGGCACAGGCTTTAACCCACTGAGCCACCAGGCGCCCCTAGAATCACTCTATAGGAGGTACTGCTAGATCAAATTATGTAGTCCTATACTTGTAGTCTCCTATTTTTAGATGGTTCTCTGTACCAGCAGTTTTGAGTTTTGTTCTTTTTACTTCTGAATTATTTGGTGTAAACTTTTTATGTCCATCATTTTACCTGGCATAGTGCCCAAAAATGATCAACACATTTCAGAGTTTGGAAAGCAAATGCTTTCTTTTTCTTCTTTCTCTTCTTCTGTACTCTCTAAAGTTTATTTATGATCCTGTATTTTCTAATTTAGAAAGTGAGCATTTTAAAATGTCTCACAGATTAGACAGTATTACTTCTCAGTAGGAAAGTATCAGAATGCTTCTTCTATTATGTCATTTGGAAGTTAATGGACAAAGGCAGTGAGTGGGATTATGTAGCTGGCCCACACTAGCTCAAGGAAACATTAGAGCTTGCTACTTGAAAAAAAAAAAATCTTTCTGTCAATCTCTTTGCATGCTTTACTTATATACATGCTTTCTAAGTTATTCTTCTAAGTAAGGAGCAGGAGCAGTACTTTTTTTTTTTTTTTTTTTTAATCTTTAAATCACTGCAGTTAAAATGGGTGTATGCTAAGTGGTGATCCTTGCAATGGGTAGTCCAGGTAAGTGGAGGAAGAGAAGCTGGGGATCTGCCAGGGGCCCTTGTGGGGTCTGTAAGGTCTGCAGTGGGGCGGGGAGAGGGAAGTTCTTGGCAGCTGCCACTCATCAGTCATCCAGGTGGGACCATCACCTCCACCCTGCCCGGCAGCTGTGGCTGACTTCTCTCCTTTGTCTAGGTCATCCTTTGGCTCCTTACAGGCATAAACTTCCTGAAGCTAAACACTATTGAAATGAGTTGGCGAACAGGAAGTTGTTATGAAATAATCTAGAATCTAGTAGTAAATATCAGAGTCTTATGACTAAAGATTTTTAGTTTTTTAGTCCGTGCTCAGAATTTCAATATACACAGCTTATTTGACTTCACTTTTTTAAATCTGTTTTATCAGTATATCCCAAATATCTCATGGGATGGGGATGATTAAGTTACAGATTTTATCCATGCTCTCATTATGGAAACTAAGTAACAATGGAGACTGTCTCGAATTTTACAAATTACAATTTGTGCAGTTACTTGATGAGAAAACATGTACACATTGAAAAATATTGACCTAACTTTTAGCAATTTTTTTTTCTGAAACAGGGAATAATAAAGAGTCTTATTTTCTATGTTAGAAGTTTTTATGTTAGGTTTTTTTTTAAATGAAGCACTTATTAATGTTATAATGAGAAAAAAGGTAGAGGTATTTTAAAAAGTAACTGAATATGATATTAACACTATTTTTATTTTTATTTGAAAACACAGTTTATATATAGTATCACATTTACTCTTAGGCTATTTCTTGCCAAGAGTATATTCTCCCTTCTTATCAAGGTCATTAGTAACAGCTGAGGAAGAACAGTTCCGCTACTGTGTTCAGGGCACTGTGTGGTTTACAAAAGAAATGCCAGGGGTCACCTGGGTGGCTCAGTTGGTTGCTTCCAACTCTTGATTTCGGTTGGGGTCATGATCTCAGGGTCATGAGATGCAACCCAGTGTTGGGCTCCCCGCTCAGTGCAGAGACTGCTTGAGATTCTCTCTTTCCTTCTGCCCTCCCCGCCTGCTCGTTCACTCACTCACTCTCTCTCTCTAAAATAAATGAATAAAATATTTAATTAAAAAGTAAAACCAGAACAGTTCTTTGAGGTCTACCTTGGACCTCCTCGCCTCTTCCGATCTCATTCACCCACTCCCATAAAAGCCCCGTCTGCCTGTTAGCACTTCCAGACAGAGTTCAGCTTTAGAACCACGTGCTGTCTGCTTATCGGGATAGGCCACATAGATATTTGTATGACTCTAAGATATATTGTGTCCCTATTGATCTTTTCATTTCCTCTCCGCACCCCCCCAGAGTTATTTTTGTACTACTTTTCTCCACGCATGGCAATACCAATTCCCTAAGCCAGAAGTGAGATAAAAAAGAACAGTTTGATTGCAGAGCTCTTGTTCTAACCATTGTGCCGGATTGCCTCTTTATTTGATTTCCTCCTCGAGTCCTCCCTCTCCCCCCAACCCCCATCCCCACTGCCCCATTACTCAAGCCCAGTTGATTTGGTCTCCTAAAAGTTTCTTTTTCTTTCTTCTTTTTTAAAAGATGTTTTTGTTGTTTTTGTGTACATCTGAGAGAGAGCATGAGTGAGAGAGCACAAGCAGGGAGTGCTGCAGCAGGAGAGGGAGAAGCAGACGCCCCGCTGAGCAGGGAGCCAGATGTGGGGCTTGGTCTCAGGACCCTGACTGAGATCCTGACCTGAACTGAAGGCAGCCACTTAACCAATTGAGCCACCCAGGCACCCCTACTCCCGATTTTTTTATAAGATTTTATTTTATTTATTTTAGAGAGAGTGTGTGAGCAGGGGGAGGGGCAGAGGGAAAGGGAAGCAGACTCCCCACGGAGTGCAGAGCCTGATGTAGGGTTTAATCCCACGACCCACGAGATCATGACCTGAGTCAAAACCCAGTATCCAGCACTCACCAAGGGAGCCACCCGAACACCCCTGATCTGGCCTCCTAAATGTTTCTTGACTCCATCTGCTTCTCTCCTCTGCCACAGCCTTTGTATGGGCATCCTTAAGTCTCTCTTGGATTGCACCCGCTTGGGTGCACAGTGATCTCCTTGCCACCAGTTCTGTTCTTCTCTCATATGCTCTCCCCTCTGCACATTTGACCTTGTCATTTGTCTGCTTAAAATGGTTCATTGGATTTCCATTTCTTCCAGCCCAGGCCCCTGCCTTCCAAAATTGCCTTTTTTCCCCCTCTGTTCCTGACCTTCTGCAAGGCTTTCTTCTCTGCCAAAAAAAAAATGCTTCTCTCCCATAGCACTCCTCTGTCTAGTTAGTCCCATCTTGTTCTTCTGGTCTTAGTGTGAGCATTTCTTCTGCAAACTCCTGATCTCCTTAGACTTAGATACCCCTGCTCTTTGATTCCAAGGCAATCTCTGTGTCTCTTGTAGAATTTGTCCCACTTGCTTACATATTTAAAGAAAATTTTAAAAATATTTTAAATGTTGATTCCAGTATAAACATACAGTATTATATTAGGTTCAGGTATTATCCCACATGATTACAGACATTGGTTTCAGTGTCTCTCCCAGGAGACTATACACAGGAGCCAGAGACAGTCTTGCTCACCTTCCTCTTCCAGAATATAGTACATGGGCTTGCCCATAACAGGTGCTTGGCAAATATTTGTTAAGTGAGTGAATGTATGAATAAGTGAATGAATGAATGTTGTCCTTGCCTACAAGAAAATTACTCGTCAATTGGGAGAAAAAATATATACCATGAAGTTGAAGACCTCCTCAACATCATGCTGGCAGTCTAGTGGCAGAACACAAGTAAAAATTTTGGTTCTTGGGGCATCCGGGTGGCTCAGTCCATTAAGCATCAGTGTCTGGCTTAGGTCATGATCATGGGGTCCTGGGATCAAGTCCTAAGGCTGGCTTCCTGCTCGCTGGGGAGTCTACTTCTCCCTCTCCCTCTGTTCCTTCCCCACGCTCATGCTCTCTCTCCAATAAGTCAATAAAATCTGTATTAAAAAGTTTGGTTCTCTTTACTACTACTAACGTATGCTGTTTTTACTGGGCAGTACTACATTTGATTTAAACAAATGTTCAGAAACGTTTTAGTCAGCACCTCATGGAATTAGTTTTTTTATTCCTTTTTTAATGTCAGCTCCTTTTTGCAAAATCTTCAGTGCAGTAAATACTTCAGTTTTACTTTTCATATGCCGTATGGAAGATAGAAGTTTACAGGGTTTTTCAGCATAAGATGACTCAAATAAATTAGGGTCATAAATCATAAATCATATATAAATAGGAATGTCATAATTTTTTTCTTTTTTTTTTTTTTTAGTTGTTATAGCTGCTGATGGGGTATTGAAGGTAGGACTCCTTTTAATTTTTTTCAGAAGTATTTGTTAACTTCATGTGTAAGTTTTTGTGATGGATAATTCTTTCATGAATCGGTAGTAGAAGGTTGATACTTGTTTCTCTTTTCTCAGATATGTGATTTTGGTGCCTCTCGGTTCCATAACCATACAACACACATGTCCTTGGTTGGAACTTTCCCATGGATGGCCCCGGAAGTTATCCAAAGTCTCCCTGTGTCTGAAACTTGTGACACATATTCCTATGGTGTGGTGAGTTCATTTCTCATTTTTTTGTTGTTGTTGCTCAAAGAAATCTAAAAAACCAAACACCTCCAGAAGTGGTATACAGCAATTTAACACAGATTTAAGACAATGATGCTGTGCCTGGTGGAATGCCTAGAGCAGTGGCCTCAGAGAGGACACTTTCCTAATTGCCAGAATGTTGACTTGGATCACTTTTATGCATCTGAGTTATTTCGTCCTGTGTCAAGAAGAAACCAATGCTACTTCCAAAGAGCAATTAGATGAAACCTGAAATAATGCAGGGGCCGAGGCAGTCCCGTGGAGAGTGCTTTCCTGGACACACAACTGTGGAACATCCGTGTAAGTCAGTGAAAGCGTGGGCCATCTGGAACAGGACTTCACTGTGATAAGTTGCTCAGACCACATCAGTAGGTCTGCCAATGAGTGAATTACAGATTTTTGAACGCCAACTATGAAAATGATTGGTGAGTTTCCAGAGAGTACAGAAGGAAGTGCATGTAGCTTTTATGGCCTTGCCCATGCCTGCTGCAGGTCTTATAAAGCAGTGTGACTCTCTGAGGCATGACTCGAAGGAATCATGAAAAAGTCACAGCAGAGCAGCACAGAGAACAGGATAATGTGGGGGTGGGGGGTGCTTAGGGAATGGAGAGCACAGGAAAGACTCCCTGAAGGAGCAGAAGCTTCTGGAGGAGGGGTTTTGAGGTGGACCATTCTTGAGGAATAGCAAAAGGAAAGAAGTAAGTGGAATAGGGGGAACGGTAGGGGGAAGGGGTAGAGGGGAAGGGTGGTTCTTTGGTGGTAGAAGGAAATTATTTGTTGCCCCTTTCTGAGGAGTTCTTTTATCCTTAAAATACTGTGTATTCTTTAAAGAGTCCGAAATAGTATTTGGTGCTCCTTCTCTTCAGGTCTCATCTCCCCGTCATACTGCCTCTATATTTGTATTATGACTCTCAAAAGGACATTTTCTTAGTGACAGGTAAAGGAGGAGACTGATTTTGGCCCAAACTACCATGCCTCCACTTCCTGGACTTCTCTGGTTTCTACCAAAAGTGACTGCTGATGGCCCAAGAGGAGACCTGCATTGTCATATGCGTTCCTGATTCTCTAGAGGCCGTCAGCCTCTCAGGAGTTACTTTTGGCTTCGTTACTTAAGTCTTAGGCTTGTTTTTGTTAGCAAGCTTCTTCTAAATTTTAATACATCTTATGTACACAAAATTAATAATTTTTAAAAAAGATTTTACTTATTGGAGAGAGAGGGAGCACAAGCAGGGGAGAGTGGCAGGCGGAGGGAGTAGCAGGTTCCCCGCTGAGCAAAGAGCCCCATATGGGGCTCCATCCTGGGACCCTGGGATCATGACCTGAGCCGAAGGCAGACGCTTAACCGACTGAGCCACCCAGGCACCTTACCAAATTAATTTAATATAATAGAGATGAGTTTTGTTGGCTATTGGAAAAAGTCATTATAGGAATGAGATACGTGTTTTTGGCAAAAGGCTAAAATTTTAAAGGTTGAAAGAGAACAATAGCTTCAGGTGAAGTACCTAATTTCCCTTAATTCTGGGTCTTTCTAAGAATGAAGGCTGTGAACTATAGACAATGATCAAGTAAGTCTCATTGAAAGATGGGAAAAAAACATAAGTTCCTAAAGAGACTCGATTCTAAAACTGGTTCCCTATGTGAAAAGTTACTACATTCTGACCATCCTACAGATCACCATGGGGAGTTCAGATGTTGTCATTTCAGACTTTAGTGAGATTGTTTTCTCTTCAGAAGTTACATTCCTTCATTTTAAGCAATAATGCATTTATCGTGTTAGACACCAACTTAGGGTAATTTAAATTGTCCTTTGCCTGCTCTTTGGGCCCAGTGTCTGTCCTGTGGAACAGGAACCAGCAAATTTTTTCTGTCCCGCTGTGTATTCTTTTATTTCCTATAGCCCTTTGTAAGTGTTAAAACCACTGTGCGTGCGTTCCTCAGCAGGCCTCAGTTCCCAGAGCAGGTTGTGTGGAGCCAGAGGGACTGGGGGAGGCCTCTGGGCTGGAGTGGGTCACAGTGAGTCAACAGGAGACCACGCTTCTCACACTCTCACTCACCTGTCATATAGATACACACACATATTTAGGCAGTTATAGTTTTTCAATTATTTTGCATATGAACTAGTTCTGGTATAGTGCTTTTGCTTTGAAAATTCTCCCCAAGTCTTGGACTTTCCCTATCCCAGAAACGTTAGATCTGAAAGACAGCTGTGGGTTCCAGCTAGAGTGAACATTTGGTTTCAGTGTTATCTCACGAAGAGAAACCTCACACCGCCTCCTTCCAGGACCTTACAGTTGCCAGCGGCTTTTGGGTGCGGTGCACCCGCTGGCTTTCCTGAGCCGGAGTAGAATCTCAATCCCCGTCACCTGTTTCTGAGTATCAGTTCGGCGTTCATGTTAGAGTCTGCTTTTGACTGGTGGAAACAGAAAATGCCTTTTCAGTGACTCTGTTTAAAAACAGTATCTTAAAGAGAGAGGTTTACTTGGAATTCTGGTTATGCTCAACCCATACATAGCTCTATCAGCAGAACTCCACTCAGAAAGTTGCACATAAACCAGTTTCATTATAAACAGGAATTCAAGATCTTATTTACTTCTGACCCCTTCCCATTATGTTCTAGATAAACACCATTTGGTGAAAGAAATAGTATGAGGCATGCTTTCCAGAGCTTTTTGTTGAAACAATCACAGATTTTAAAAAAACATTTTTTTGAAAGAAATAGTATGAGGCATGCTTTCCAGAGCTTTTTGTTGAAACAATCACAGATTTTAAAACTTTTTTTTTTTTTTAAGATTTTATTTATTTATTTGACAGATCACAAGTAGGCAGAGAGGCAGGCAGAGAGAGGAGGAGGCAGGCTCCTTGCTGAGCAGAGAGCCCGATGTGGGGCTCGATCCCAGGACCCTGGGATCATGACATGAGCTGAAGGCAGAGGCTTTAACCCACTGAGCCACCCAGGCACCCCACAATCACAGATTTTTAAAAAATGAAGAAAGCATTGCACGGTCAAAGTAGGTATTAACTAAAAAAGCAGGAGGGATTGGTTAGTAAGGTAGGGCATGTTAGTTTTAGAACTTTGTAGTCCATAGACTGAAAATGTTGCCTATCTAGGAAAGCAATGTTCTAAATATGTTCTAAATAAATAACTAGAAATTTAGAATTTTTGATGTCCTTTCAAAAGTAGGTAAGTGACCAGGACCATTTGTCAGTAAAGGATCTCTTGGCGTAAAGTATCCCATAGTTCATGAAGTGTCTGTTCTGTTCGTGTGCCTACACACACGCACGCATGCACACAGTCTCGGACAGATGAACAAGACCCTAAAAAGAGTTGTCCTTTTATAAAACCAACCTAAAAAAAACCCAAAACACCTAAAATATTTTTGCTTTTCATTTTTTTGTTTTTTTCAGACTTGTGGTAAGAATTTAGCCCCTAGTATTATCAAAGTCCCTCGCCCCTGCGGCTTGATAAACCTGGGTTGCTTCTTAACACACGGCCAGACTAACCAGCCCTGGCCAGTTTCAGTAGAAATGTGCTGCAAATGCCAGAAGTGGATCTGGTGATCCCTGCTTCAAAGCTGATAAACCTCATGAGCCATGGAGCTGTTTCTCTCTCCATCTTACAAGAGTGGAGATTGTGCTACCCCCTCGTGATGCTCTCTGTTGAAGGATGGAGCGAGAGGAGGGTTTAGTATGTTGTCCACAGAAAAGAAAAGACTTAAAGAAAGCAAACATCATTGAAAGAATAAGCCTTCCGCGAACACAAGGCTTTGCTACTCTTTAAAAACAAAGCTGTCCTAATGACAGTGCAGAAAGGATTCCTTTCCCAGAAGCTTCTTAGCCTAGAACCACGATAGCGTAGCTTCAGAGTGAGCGTCCCTGTGTCGCTTGTCTGTGAGCCCCATTCCGGAACAAGCTGGGCTCAGGTAATGGCCTGCCATTGTCTGGCAGGAAAGGTCAGGAAAAGTACACAGCCTTGTCCAAGTTTCTCTGCAAACTGAAAATAGAAATTTTTCCTTGTGAGCACAGTTTAAACGTAAATAGGTCTCAAGATAGAATGAGTTGGAAAGTATTTTTAAAGGGAAAGATCACAATCATGTTTGGCCTGCATCCCCATCACTGATATTTTCAGGCCTAGTTTAATATATTTTTAGACCTCTGCATGACTTCCTCCACAAAGGAGTGTTTTGTGCCGAGTGGCATTGTGTTTAGTGCAGAAACAGCTGTTGTCCCATTTCAAACCACCTGCTTTTTGGTACATTCCTACACCTGGGGGATCAGTAACGGGACCTCGGCAGGGGCTGGGGCTGCACTCACACTAAAGCCTTCACAGCCATGTCCATACCCTCCTATGAGCGGCTGTCACGTAGCCCCTCAGCCGTCGGAGCTCTGCACGCACACACACACACATGCGCACATGCACAGATTGAAGTGAAACTCTTATTTTTCTGGGGTTAGAACTTGTGGAGAAACAGAACTCAGACCTCAGTAGATTTCGGATATTTTCCAGCTGAACATATGGGAGTGAAGAATGACATAAGTCTTTTTGTATATCACTTCCCAAGCTCTTGGTTTTGCATTTTACCTCAACCCAGTCAGCCTTTATGTGTGCGCCCATGCAGTGGGTTGTGCCTGTAGGCTGGGATCAGAAAACGGGGGGCCGGGGCCACCTACTTAGACATTTTGGGGTCTGGAGCATTTGATTTATTTGAGACTGATTCACTGTTCCCTTTCTCCTTAGGAAGGCCAAAATCATCCATTTGCCTGCTTTGCCTTCCCCTCTCCCACCCCAACCTCAGCACCGGGGGAGTGGTAATTGCAGGGAATGAAGGGGCTTCATTTCCTGCTCAGCCCCCTCGATGCTGCGTCCCCCCTCCTCTGTGCAGACTGCATACCTGTTCTGGTCCTTTACTTACAGTGCTTGCTAGAATCATCCCCTTCTGTGATGCCCCTTACTTTTTCTTAATCACTTCTGGGACTCAAATAGAATTATTCAGTAGCTCTTCTAGAGAAGTACCTTACACACTTGATTAAAAGCCCAAAGAGGCTTCAGTGAATTTTTTTTCTCCTGCTTGAACAGCATCTGCCAATTTCCCTGATTTTCCTGCTAATTATCTTCGTATTAGCCAGAGTTCACTTAGCATGTCCTGATTCAAATATGACTGAACACTGGCTGAGGAAACAGTGGCTCTATAGAGTGAAAGGTCCATGGGACCTTCTTGAATGGAGTACGTGTTCTCAATCTTATTTAGAAGTGGGCTTTTTAGTTTTGTTTTTAGAACAAGAGCAGTCTAACTCAAAACTGCTGAACTCATCTGCTTCTCGCCTCTGCCGTGGCTCCACCCCTGAAATACGGCTTCTTTCTCGTACTGCAGCCTCGCTTCTCTAGAGTTACCTCACGTTAAGAGCTTGACCGTTGGGGTGAGGCAGCAAGTTCACATTCTAGCTCTGCCACTTGATAACGGAGTGTCTGTGGGCAAGTTTGTCTAACTTTCTGAAGCCTTAATTTCCTCATCTATAAAGTGAGGATGGTATGTATTCGCTGGGATTGGTCGTAATCATGGTAACACCCGTAAAGAGTTTAGCAAAGTATCTGAAACGTAATCACTAAGTAAATGACAGTCGTTGTTTTTAAGATTACTGATAAAATTATAATTGTTTTATCACTTCAAAAATATATTGGTAGACTTAGATTTTGATGCCCTTTTGTATAAATTGAGAAAGTTACCCAAATGTAAAAATCTCCATTACTTAGTATTTTAAATGAAACCCAAATCGTTGGGTGTTTTCAGTGTTCCTAGCATCGGTTTGGTTTCTTTGGGCATTCCAGTGCAAATTTATTAATCATGCTCATCTTAAGGATTGCAGAGATATGAACACACACATAAATTTCACACACACACACACACACACACACACAGACCCCTAGCCTATATATATGAACATAACATATAAATAAAATGTTTATTACATTTTAAAACATATAATTATGTTAGAGGTGGAAGAAAATGACTCCCTTAGACCAACTCATTTTGAGAGATCTTCCTCCAAAACACACAATTTATGTGTTACAGTTCTGCAAGTATCTACCATTACGGGGGGAATGGTTTAGCCAGTGGTTTGGATTTAGGGCTGAGTATTTTTTATCAGACCATTACCGAACCTTTAAAAATACAGTTGAATTCCCAGTTATTATCTTATAGAGAAGTTTATTGGTGATTGAAGGTAAAAAGTGTTGGACTAACAAAACATAAAGCCTAATTTGTGGGAATCTGTGAGAATTCTAGTAACTTACAGGATAAATTATGTAGGCCCATTGGTTTCATAAGTGTGGCTCTGAATGTTCTGATTTCTAAACTAGTTTTTTTTCTTTATAAAAATGAACAAAAAAATGAATGTATGTGTTTGTGCTCCTGTGTGTATATGTATATAAAATATGTGTGTATATGTACATAATATTTAGAAGAAGTCCTCTGCATGAATATATATGTTTTGTCCAGGCTTCTACAGGTGGGGTTGGTTTTGTCTGATAATTGGATACAGTTAAGTGTTAGATAAGTTTCAGTAATACACCAAAAATATAAAGTACAAGAATAAAAATTCCATTTTCTTTTTGTTCCAGGTTCTCTGGGAGATGCTAACAAGGGAGGTCCCCTTTAAAGGTTTGGAAGGATTACAAGTAGCTTGGCTTGTAGTGGAAAAAAACGAGGTAAGACTACGATTCTCCATTCAGGTACATAGATCAGAAAACAGTATTGGGGTTTTGCAAAAGACTTTTTCATCTTCTTCAAATTGAAAGTAAGTTCACGCTTATGGAAAGATTAGCAGTAGGAGCTAACACAAAGGGTCAAAGTGATGTTATTCCTCATGAATGGACCCTTTACATCTAATTGTTGCAGCTTCACGTCGTGATGCTGTAGATCAAAAATTGTACAAGTACTGTACTAGTTTCTCAGTCTCAATTGTAAAACCTAGGGGTTTGTTCTTAGTGATGAAAGAAGCCATTGCGTCCAAGGTAGGGGAACAGTTTAACTCCATCTCCTGCGTTTAGGACATCTTTTTTACTGGCCGGGAGTTGATCTATCTGTAAGAGACCTTCAGCTACTTCAACTTACCTCTCCCAGCAGGAGTCACTATAGTACAAGAAACTGTCGCTTAGATGAGAATTTCAAAAATAAAAGAAGAAAAAATAGTTTCAAAAAAGGGAAAAATTACAGTTTTGCCACCTACGTTGAACACTACATTGAAGATGAGCTCCTCACTGGAATTGGCGAGGCAGTGGCATAACTGTTCCCTTCTTCATGCAGAGCCTTTCCATTTCAAAAGAACTTCAGTGGCGTAAACACCGTTTGTGCTGTGTCCCCAGCCTCGCTTTTCTTCTTCCCACAAATTGAGGCTTTCAGTTAGTTGGACCTATGAGCCTACATCAGAGAACGTGGTACATTCATATCAAAGAGAGCAACTACATTTTGAAAGGTTTAAAATTGTGACTGAAATGCACAGGCATGGAAATCCTCAGCATAAGGACGAAGCATCCAGTAAAGGTACTAGGAGAACTTAGATCCCGTACTGGAAGCCCGCAGTTGTCTTTGCAATGCAAAACAACCTGATTTCACAGAGCTTCATTGCCAGAGCTGATCAGTGCCCTCCGCAGAAGGTAAGCGCGCAACCCGAGGATCAAATAATTTGCAAAAAGGTGACTACGTGGAGATATGCCCTTTTTAACGCTATGAAAGAATTAGATTGATCTGCTCCCCATGTGAGCACAGGGACAGACTACGTTAACCAAACAGCTGCGATTGACTAAGAGAAACCAAGTTTCCATAGTTTAGATCACATAACCCTAACCCTTATTAATTTGTCCTCCCGAGCTATTGAGAACAGATGAAATGTTCACGATGGCTGAACTTGATGGGAGAGAGCTGCCAATTTAAGAAAAAGCAAAAGGCGTTATATTCAAGAATGTGTCTCGCTCAGTGTTTCACAGGAGCTGTTCTGTTTTAATTAAATGTCCTGCTTATTTCTGGTGTGCTATTAAATCAGAACTTCGTACGCAGGATAACTGATATTTTCATGACATGAGAACTGGCTTGCTTCTGTTCCATTTTCTTTTGCCAGTGAGGTGATTAGATGTTTGGTTCTGGGTTTACACATGAAGGTGAAGAAAGCGATTGACCTAATGTTGACTTTGGAGCAGATCACTCAATGTAACTTTTTTCCCTCTGTGTTGTTCCAAGAAAATTAGAAGAAAGTTTTTTAAAAGCTGACTGGATCCTCCAAAGATGTATAAGAAAAAAACAGTATTTTAAAATAATATTTCCTCTAAAGGGTGGCAGAGAAGGTGTGCGTCTAAAGCACTTTCAGAACATGAGTATCTATCGAGGATGTTTAAAGCAGACAAGAAAAATGAATTTAGACGCTGCCTTTGGGTAGCTGGCTCGTGGGCCAGGAATCACCCATCTGTAACCTCGAGAACTTCGTCAGCTTGTACAGGAGGAGGCTGTCAGCCGTCCTTTCCCTCAGGGATTCCCGAGAGTCCAATGTTGCTGTCTCATCCGTGTGTGACCTGATAGTCAGCTGAAAACCCCCAGAGGTACTCAGGTACCTCCCCTTCTGGACACAGAATAGCAAGTTCAAGAAACCCCAGGTGGCGAAGCAAGTTTTCTCAACTTTCGACTGAACTTAAGGAAAACTGGGTATTACAAGGCTACTTATCTGTCTACTCTCACTCTGTTCAGTATTTGTCAAAAATATGGAAATTAAGTCTAATTGTACTTTCCATTGTCACCATTCACAAAGGAGTCTTCATTTCATCTCATAAGTGTAGACACGTGTTACCAAAACAGATTCTGTTGACGTAACATTATAAGGATTGCCAAGTCTCAACTACACAGAACAAACTGAAGGGGTTGCTAGAGGGGAGGTGGGGGGATGGGCTAAAGAGGTGATGGGGACTAAGGAGGGCACCGGGTGTTTTACGTAAGTGATGAATCACTCAATTCTGCACCCAAAACTAATATTATGCTATATGTTAACTAAGTGGAATTTAAATAAAAACTTGGAAAAAAAAAAAAAAAGGCCAAGGATTTATTTCATTTCATAATAAAATTGAGACTTTGATTTAAAAATAATTTACAAATCCTTTCAACTTCTAATTATTTCATTTATTTTTACTTTGGAATACCTTGGGTTCTTGAGTTGAAAAGAGCAAGCCATATATATATATATACATACATATATATGTATGTATATATATATATATGTATGTATGTATGTATGTTTTTTTTTTTTTAACAGACCTCCTTTAAATAATGATGTGTTTAAACTTAGGGAGACATTTTAAATGTAAGCCAGCCACCCTAGAATACACCTATATCCAAATATTAGAGTTACCTTTTCTTTTTAACTTTTTATTTTGAAATAATTATAGACTCACAGAAGTTGCAAAAATAGTAAAAGGAATTCTGTGTATCCTTCATCCAGCTTCCCCCACTGGTGAGATACAGGTATTGGCCAATACCAAAACCAGAAAGTTGTCACTGATACATTACTAATCTTAACTAGACTCTGAACCTTATTCAGTTTCACCATTTAGATTGCTTTTTGGATCTATAGGAAGATCAATACTTTCTCAAAATATTTGAAAGTTTTTGCTTCTGATTGCTTAATAATGAATTAAGGCCTTCAAACAATAATTTTTCCTAATATTAAATCCTATTAAAACTAGATACATAAAGCACTGTTAAAGCAAAGACTGAACCTTTACAGAAGTCATGAAATTAGGAGGATATTACTAGTAAATTTTGTAATTCTTATAGACATGTGTATTTGTCTTCGTAATTTCTCTAAAACTCAGTGGTCATTCAAAATATTCTGATAGCATAATTTCTATCTTTACAAGTTCTTAGATTCTCATAAAATATGTTTTGTTCTAAGTAACAAAACTATTTTTTTCTTCTAGAGAGACTGACACTGGGCTCGATCTCTTAGCCCTGAGATCATGACCTGAGAATTTTTGGTCACTTAACCAAACTATTCTTAATAGGCACCCCATACTGTTGACAGAAATCCTCAAAAAACTTAATCTATTGATGACTACTCTTTGGAAAAAAGATAATAAAAAATAATTGACAAAAAGTAATTTTTTTCATCTTATGTAGAAAACGATGCAGAAAAAGAATATACTCTTTCAAAAATGTCATGCCTAATTTAGTGGTTGGAAAGTATTTTCATTTTAAATTTGGAACTTGTAAAATATTTAAGTTTTAAGTAGTGTGGCTAATCTGTTGCTGGTATCTGGTTATTTCGGGATGTTTTAATGCATTAGGAATGCCCATCGTTCTATAATCAGGACTCAAATACTTTGGATTTTCTCTTAAAGTACTTTTTTAGTGCACCAAAACAAACCCTAGATTAGTGTCTGAGTCTAGATTTAACTGATATTTGACCATATGAGATAATTTAAAATAATTATGTCTTCTTTCATAATGTCTCAGATGCAGTAGCTAAAAAGTTCCTCAGTAAGAAAAGATGACAGAAAAGATTAACATCCATCCATATTCATCCAGGTCCCATTTCAGTTCTTAGAAAAATGTGAAAAAGTTATATTGAAAATGAGAAATTACTTTGCCATAGGGTGCATTCAGCTGAATAATTGCAGCCACTTTGTTTCTCTTAGTTGCCACTCCTAACCAACCATCCTATATAAATATTTTTTAAAAGTAAACGCCTGATTTTCCTTTAGGTCTTCATCAAAAGGTTTCCAGTTCACATTACAGTAAAATAAGAGTACAGCTGACCAAGTCTTCTCTGTTCTATGTAATCAGTTAAAAAAAAATGTTTAGCATAGCCTTTAACTTAGAGCCATTTGTTTATAAACTTTTGGGTTGTATTTATTTTGATTTATTTTGATTTTAAGGTTATCTGTAATTCTACATGCAGATCACCTGTTTTCTTGCCAGGGCAACTCTTTTTCTAGTTTTGTACGTAGCCCTCTCCCAAATCCAACTAAGTTCAGTTTCAGTTTTTTATTTGCAAAACTTCTTTGGTAAACAAAACTGCAGAGTAACTCATCTTGGTACTTCTTAGTGTTGTGGTTCTCAACTGTCACACCCAGGCCTCTCTGGAGAACAACTCTGTTCATGCTCCCTCTACTTTCCAGAAATGAAATTCGGATGTAGTACAACCTACCCACACACATTGTATTTTGAAGTCAACATAATGTCCTCATTGTAATATACCGAAGAAATAAATACGTACTACTGTGTATAAATGCGCAGGCATGAGCACAGTATAGGAGAAAATGGAACATTTTAGAGCTCGTACCTATGGATAGATAGGATTCAACAGCTACAAATGCAGACTGGAGTCGAGTGGTCTCCATGATTCCAGCAGCATGAGCAATGCTGTTGTAGGTGACAGTTTCCAAAAATCTTGGGAAGGATATGAATAATGCAGACATCAATCTGCTCTTGATTTATTTTATTTGGTAGTTGCATTCTTAGTTCATTGCATTTGAAATCTGCTCAAAATATACTTTTGTGTTTCTTGTAAATCAAAGAGCGAGTCTAGAGCCAGAAAATGATTAAACCTCGTTTGATTGCACATGGGGCATCTCAAGTTTGGTGGAGTGCAAGGGAGTACTTGGTCAGGGATTTACAACGTAGTGAAAGATGTCCAGCATTTTTGACCCGCTCCAGGGGCAAGTCTCCAGTTTTAAAAATAAACAAAAATGCCTCCGTAGATCCCTAAAGAGCCTCCAGGGGCATGGCGAGTCCTAGAGAAGCACTTCGGTAACATGTTGGAACAGGACCGACGCTCACAGTGTAATCTTTGTTGTATCCAGCCCTTGCACTAATGAGTCCTATGTCCAGAATCTCTTATTGGCCAATCAGAAGAGGCCCACTTCTCTCAAATGATCTCTGTGCGGGTCTCTGCTGAAGACATTTTCAGAGATGCGGCACCCATGGTCTAACTGGTCTTTTTAGAAGAACAGGATTATAAGTGTCTTTAGTGATGAGATATGATGAATCTAAACATAAATTCTCACCAGCCAGCTATGAGTCTGTGGAAACTTAACATTTAATGACTTGTTTGTGCTCTTAATGTAACTCTTTTAAGAACTTTCAGTGAGTATTTGCTTACCTCCATGAGTAAATCCTTGCTTTGTCTTTTCCTCTCTCTGTGGTAGAGATTAACCATTCCAAGCAGCTGCCCCAGGAGTTTTGCTGAGCTGTTACGTCAGTGTTGGGAAGCTGATGCCAAGGTATATATCAATTTTTTGTTTGTTTTTTGGTCATTGTTCAGGATTCTGAAATTCCACTTATTTGGCTTTGAGGTTTTTAACACTTGAGGTAATAAGAGTCATTACAAAGCAAAGCTGCTGGCTGCCTCCCTTATCCTTAGAACTTCATGACTGGCTCTTTCTTACAGCCGCCTGGCACTCTTGATTCAGTAGAGAGAATTGCATTCTTTTGTTTTTAATCTTTAATAAGCACTGTTGCACCTTCGTGTTCTAAAAATGGCCAGCACACAGTGCTTATTCTGGGCCAGGCACCGTTCCAAGTACTTCATGTACATTCGCTTATTGATTCCTCACAATAGCTCTGTGACGTAAGTTGTGTTTTTCCACCCATTTTACAGATGAAGGATCTGTAAGGCACACAGAAGTTAAGTCATGCTCAAGGCCTCAGCTAGTACATGGTGAGACTGGAGAGTGAACCCAAGTGGTCTGAACCGAAGACCCGGCCACAGTAGCCCTTCTAGAGAAACCTGATACATACTCCTTGCCCAGATTCATGATGTTTTGAAGCTATCACAGTAGAGTTGGAGACACTCCAAAATTTAGACTTTCATGTGGTTATCACATTTGAGCATGAAGGCCCACTTCCTTTCCCTGCAAAGATCATTTTAAAAGACTCTCACATACATACGGAAATATTTAAGGATAAAATAATAAGCGAGTCTTGGATTTGCTTCAAAATAAACTGAAAGGAAATAGGTGGCGGTATAGATTAAACAAGATTGGGCAGGATAAATTTTGAAGCCACGTGATAGGTATATGGAGGCTTGTTACATTGTTCTCTCCACATTTGTGTGTGTTTGAAATTTTTCATAATAAAAAGTTAGAAAGTAAGATCCTTACAGATTAAACACTGGAAGAAGAGACAGGCCCAAGAAATGAACTGTAATTTTATGGTTCGAATTTGTCCACTTTTTCATGGAAGTAGATATATTGCAAACTGACTTCTTAAAATAGAGATCTAAAAACAAAGACTCAGGAGTGGAATTTCTTCCTTAATTTAAACCCAGTTGCAATCTGGCCACCAGGAAGAATGCGTGCCAGTAACACATAGCATCTTTCTCTAGTGGGAAGGATGCACACCCAGTGAGTTTGAGTTCTCACCTGCCAGATCCCACCCGTTACCTCGCACCTGGGTCCGCACCACCTCGTGAGAACAGCTCAACACCAAGTACAGGAGCTTGTACAGTAGTGCAGCCCACAGAGCAGCCGGGTATGCAGATCTGTGGGGCCTTTCAGCCCCATGCACTTTCTGTTGGCTGGTCTGGCCTGTGCTTTGTCTCCGAGGAGTTTGGGTTGGGGGTGCTTCCCAGATTTGCACATTGCACCTCTGCCTCAAGAACAGCAGCCCTCATCTTTGCTTTCACTCCTCTTCATCAAACTACCTTCACCCTTTTTTTTTTTAAAGGAGAGTCTCTTATTAGTACTGTTTTTTTAAATTCAAGAATTTTAACATTTTTAAATTCTGTTAGTGTTTTTATTTAGTATTATTGTTTTTATTAGCATTCCATGACAAAGTTGCATATGTATGGCATGGTCTGCCCTACCTGTGTTTAGGTTCTATTATTTTAGTGTGTGGTTTGCAGAATATGGGGGTTTTAAGCAGTAAGAGAAATGCCTGCACTTTGCAGCTAATCCAGCGGAAAATATACTCAGCTGTTTGCAGGCTTGCTCTAGAACATTTGTATTTTTTAAATGCTGCCATACTACCTTTTCTATACTCTTTCTATAAGTTCTCTGTCCGTTGCGGCATATGTAGTCCTTTTTGCAGCATTTTTCTGCTACTTAAATAAAAACTTCACCTAGAATTATTTGCATTGAGTTAGATTAATGCAACTAGATTCTCTGTAATTGCAATTATATTTCAGTATGCAAAGCAGGTTTTGAATTTCTTAATCGGAAACTCTGTACTTCATTGATTAAAATTCTGAGAATATACACTTAAGGTACATTAATTAATAGTGTAAACACGTAACACAGGAAGGACCTTAGACCCAGTGTTAATGCCATGAAGCTGGCATGTCTTTAACATGTAGCAAGCTCACTCTTCTTTGGGCCCAGTGGAGTCTCGTGTTCTAACTACGTGAAGTATAAAGAAAGTTTAAGACTGATTTTTACTTCCTAAATTCAGGGCATTTTATTCTGATACAATTAATACATCCCCCCAGTATTTAAGTATGCCCCAAACTACAGTCTCCACTTGCAGCGCTCTCGTGGCTGATCTCCAGACTGCCTTACACACCTCCCTTCCCTGCGTATGCCCTCTTCTTTTCTTCCCTCCCCTGAGGATTTCCTTGGCCAGCCTTCCCTGGCTGTTCTGTTTACCCCTGCCCATACTTCGTCCTCCTTTTCCTAAACCAAGTCCGGGCTACTGCCTTACCCTGTGTTGTTGTATTTTTTAAATGTCTCTTCTTCCTACACAGACTGCAGTCTCCTCGAGGGAACAGGGCTGCCTTCAGCACATTACACGCACTCAGGAAGTGGAAGCCCCTGTGTTGACTAAAGCAGCCAGACCAAGGCACCTTCTAGTTCTCTGGCTTTAAGTATACAGCAGTTCAACCACTAGTGCTTGCCACTCCTGTGCATACAGAGAGAGCTATCACTGGCTAAAAACTTTTATTTCCTTTTTTCCCCCTAGCCCTTGTGCTTTAAAGACATAGATGAAAATATTCAGCTCACCTGTAGAAAAATGTTCTTTTGCAATGAGGACGGTGAAGGGAATACAAGAGAAAGCTAGTATTGGGTGAATGTCAGGTCATGCCAATGGCTTATACCAGGTGCTCAAAGTGTTTTATCAAAGAGAAGGAGGAACTAAAGGTGCGTATCGTTTCCAGTTCTAAAATGGCATTTCTAAATAGGAAAAAAAAAAAAAAGCCCTGAGTTTGATAGGCAGTAACATCTTACCCTCATGTAATAAAGCACTGAAGGGTTTAAGAGCATTGCTCCTGATTCAGAAACTTGCTTCCAGTGTGATGCTGGGCAGTCCATACTTTTCTAAGATGGATTTTCCTTATCTACATAATGAAGATAAAAAGTAATGTATATAGATGCTTAATAGATGGTCCTAGTTATAATTTTTTTAAATGCAAGCAAAATCTACATAACACTAAAAGGAACCTAAGCCTGGACCAGGTATTGTATTCTGCAACCAGAGTATTCATAAAATACCATTACCACAAATTTCTACATTGTTGTGTTTTTAAAATGTTCACTTTGATAATTTCCATCTGAGAGTATATTCTACCTATAAAATAAAGGTTTTTCTAGGGACACTTGTCACCTGATTTCAAAAGAGTTTTTACTTTATTCCAAGAATGATTAAATGTGGGGGGAAATAGTCTTTAAAAAATTCATTAACCCCTCCTGCTGCTTTTCTGTGCAAAATGAAAATCTTGTATTTATAATTAATTCCTGAGCAAACAGCTCACTTTTCCTTTCATACACTGACACATAGTAGGAGGAATTAAAATGGGGATAAAGCTAAAAGAGGACAAAATAGTTTTCAAATGTCCTACTTCAGGCATTTACTTCTTTTCTTATTAGAATGCTTTTATGTGGATCGGTGACATTTAGCTACTTATGCCCTCTACTTACACACACACACACGGGCACACATTCCCTTAAAAGAGTGCAATGCAGGCAGAACTCAGAATAAGTATCCCAGTTTTATATTCCTAAAAAATGGAAAAATCGTCTCTCTTAATGTAGGAAGCACTCAAGTCCTGAGAGCAAGCTACCTCAACACTTCCTTCTTGTTTTGTGCTCCTAAATTAAAATGCATGTTTTAATTGCTGCAACTGTAATTTTCTCAGAAATGGTGTAATTATGAGGCGTGATGAAGAGAGAATGTGCATCATCCTTTTATTATCTTTCTTCCATTTTTGTTTTAATCTTCTGTCTCAACCTTAGCTGGAGTCTAAAGAAACAGACAAGTAGAGTTACTGCTAGCTAAAGAAATGCACCTAACCACTGCTTTCTCTGTTTCTAGTAAACTGTGCCTTAGAGTTTCCCAGCTCGAGTCCAGAACGAGTCACGACATGGATTAAACACTGAGAACAATGAAGTTAAAAATGGCTTGAAAACTGGGGAACTTTTCCTCTGAGCAAGTGGTTGAGGCAATTTTGTTAGTTCCCATACATTAACTAGGGTTTTTCCCATCATTTCATTCGAAGAATTTGAAACCTACAGAAAAGTTGAAAGAATTTTATAATGAACACCGGTATACCTCCCACTCAGACTCTGTCGTTAACTTCTACTAAACTTGCTGTATCCCCTGGGTTTTTAAAGGACTTGCCTTTTCCTTTTAGGAGGCCTTCATCATACCCAAGAGAGAACTCATACTTTCCTTACCTGGAGAAAAACTGTAATTATTCCACTGTTAGGCCACACAATAGAAAAATGACATCTGCCTCTGTTCTTAGAAATAATTTATTGAAAATAAGGAATATGGTCCCTTTCAACCTGAGTGGTCTGACAGCTGTACTCTGACTCAGGAAACCGCATGCCGTTTTATTTGTTGTGGTGTGTCCAGCTTATTGTGTTGGCGGATTTTCTCTTCAAGACTTACTTTAAGTCCCAACGAGTGATTCTTTTCTCTTCCTCAGAAACGGCCATCTTTTAAGCAAATCATTTCGATTCTGGAGTCCATGTCAAATGACACGAACCTTCCCGACCAGTGTAACTCATTCCTGCACAACAAGGCAGAGTGGAGGTGAGTAAGCCCCATACTGAGTCATGGTCTCCGGCTTTGAAGGACTGTGACCAGCTTCACTGCAGAAGAGAACCAGTGAACTTGAGGACAGTACTGACTTCTAAGCATGGAGTTTTGTTTGCTTTTTATGCTCAATTTTTTTGGACATCTACTAAGGCTCCCTTTCGTATGTAAACAAAACAGCAATCTTCAAAGCTTGTTGCCTTATCATACGTCTCAGTATTTGGAAAGAATATTGAAATCACATCTTCTGAGACGAAAGACAGTCACCAGACATTTCTCTGTACCACACGCTCTGTGTTAGGGAGCCTTGGTGTCTCTCCAGTGGAAATAAATATACTGTTTGCCCAGGGATTTGCAGAGGGCTGTATCTGTTGATGGAGGGGGTAGGGAGACTATAAAAACACTTTTAAAAGAAAACTTTTGATGCTATAAATCCTATTAAATTTTGTCAAGTGTAAAACAAACTCAGTAATGAGAGAATTGTATTGTGTGAGTGGAAGAAGCAAGCCTGGGATGCGACCGTTGAGCCAGGTCACGTGCTGCAGGAATATAAATAGCATATTTGGGAGCTGACATTATTCCTCCCTGACTCAGCAGAGATTTAAGTAACTTATCTCTGCTCCGGAGAGCCACAGCGGTAACGCGACGCCTTACGCCACCTGCTGTTGCCCGGTGAATACTGCATGTACTCTGGAGATGATGGTGTTGTTTACTCCTGTTACTAGACATTTCGTTGGGCTTTCTGTTTGCGTTTTACAATAATCTGATTTATTTTTATACTTTTGAAATCTCTATCCAGTGCCAGTGAGTTAAATGAATTTTTTTTTAAAGATTTTATTTATTTGACAGAGAGATCACAAGTAGGCAGAGAGGCAAGCAGAGAGAGAGAGGGAGGAGGAAGCAGGCTCCCTGCCCAGCAGAGAGCCCGATGCGGGACTGGATCCCAGGACCCTGAGATCATGACCTGAGCTGAAGGCAGAGGCTTAACCCACTGAGCCACCCAGGCAGCCCGAATTTTTTTTTTTTTTTTTTTTAGGGAAACAAAAGTCATACTGTCTGATTGAGTGTAGGTATGACGGGTTTTGTTCTGGACTTAAATAATTAACAAAGCATGTAATAATGTTGTTCCTGCAGGAAGAGGCCAGTGCAAGTCTAACAGATGACTCCTCTTTTAAATCCATGTCAGGGATTACTCTATACAAAGGCCAACCCTTCACGAGACTCAGGAGACCCTCTGTACTCTGACCTCAGCAGTCTTACCTTAAGAGCATATAGTTCTGGCTCTTAATCTCTGGCTTCTGGTCCCTCAACAGATGTGTATTTCTTCCTCAATCAGAGTCCTTGCAAATGCATTTTCTTCTATATAAAAGTCATCCCTTTCAACGGCATACCACCCCTGATACCCACATCCAACCGGGCTCCTATTCATCAGATAGCCACTGAAATAATGTCTTTAAGGAAGTGTTTCTGCCCCGAGATGGATGAGGTTCCACTTTATGTGCCCTGGGACCATCTCCTTCAGAGCCGCAACTGCTATTGGAGTAAATAAGCAACCATAGTTGGTTGTTTAATCTGTGTCTTGCTGGCTGAAATGTAAAAAGGTCAGATAATTTCTTTGTCTTATGCTTGTTACTATACCCGCAGCATCTAGAATGTGCCTTGAACACAGCAGTGGCTCAATAAATACTCAGGGCAGGAAACAGCACAGTGATAATAATACTAAAAGACATTACGGTATCACACAAGGGAATATAAATATGTAAGCTAATCTGTTGACTATGCCAAGTGTGCTTCTGACGTTCATTCACTCAGGTGGTTCCGGAACCTCTGCTGGAGCACCAGGCTCTTGGGCTGTGCTGTGGTGATGAGCAGGACAGCCCAGCACGGATCTGAGTGCCTAAAGTAAACTATGAAATATAAATATACAAGTGACATTTTATGACTATTTTGGTAAGTGTGATGACAGAGAAGTACTGGATATCTGAGACTATACAACCATGAAATCTCATCTAGTCAGACAAGGTAATAAAAGGATTTCCTGAGGAGATGCTGTTTGATCTGTTCTCCAAAAGACCAGTGGGATTTTAACCTTATTATTGATACCCTTGAGGTACAGTGTCTCAGATACTGTATATCAGCATATGGGGAGGAGTTTTCTATATAAAAATGCAGAAGCTGCATATGGCCAAAAGCAATACCATCATAAACTGCCGTACAGTCAATTTCCCCCTGTACAGTAGCTCAGCAGGTCTAAAAGTCTTTGGTCTCAGGACTCCATCACACTCTGAAAAATAAGTGAGGGCTACAAAGAGCTTTTGTTTCAATAAATTATATCTGACAACATTTACCACACTCAAAATGAGAATGGAGAAAAAAGCATAAATATGTAGTTATTGATTCATTTAAGAAACAGTAAATCCTGCCTCTACGTTCAGCAAGCGGCTTTGCCACTTATCATACCTCTGGAAGTCTGTATAATTGTGAGAGAATGGGAGTAGAAAAGGCACATCATGTCTTAATGTTATTCTGAAAACCAGTTTAACCTCTTGAATCCTTTGAAAAGCTCTCATGGGTCCCCAGATCACACTTTGAAAACCACTATAGACAGAGTTGCTGTCTTTAAAATAACATTTTAATTATAATCTCATTCTAAAGGACATGAAAGGCATTTCACAAAAGGTGGAATCAAATGGCCAATAAACATATGAAAAACAGTTAACCTCACTTACTAATCAAGTAACTGTAAGGGAACATAATTCATTTATCAGACTGGCAAAGATATACATTATGAAAATATCCAGCATTATACGCTAATATGTTGCTGGTGAAAATACTACCTTTCAGACCCCTCCACCACTATCATTTTATTCCTAGGAAAATAAATGGAAAGTTGTACAAGAATGTATGGACACCTGCTTACTAGCACGGCACCATCTAGAAATGCAAACGAGAATGGTATAAAGTGCAATAAAAGATTTTTGGGTTTTTGTGGTTTTTATGGTTTTAAAAACTGATGATAGCTCCATATACAGAATAGGTGGGGCCATTCGTGATAATACGGATCTGACAGATGATTTAAAAATAGAGACGAGGGTCCAGTATGACTGGAATGATTCCATTTTTTTGTAAAATAAACATGTTATGTGTATATGATATGTGCACATAGAGGAAAGTATCAAAAGGCCAGTGTTACCACTGGATGATGAAATTACGAGAGAGTGGTTTCCCTTTGGATAGCTTTCTGTCCTTCAAACCCAGAAGTTGAATAATACATTTTCTAAATGCTTCACAATGAAAAGCTGAGGAAAATAACATTAATGTATTTTAGAAAAAAGCCAACAGTTGCCTCGCTGGCTTCCTCCTTGGCCATCTCTTAGGAACTAGTTAATCCTGAGAGCTGGTGAGAGAGGTGTTCCAAGTAAAGAGGTGGCTCTCTTTACTTGAGCCACTAAACCAGTCCGAGAAGTCACAGGGCTGTTCTAAGTGAACTTGGCAATTGGTTAAAAACATAGGGGATAATAATACTAATATTAATTAGAATAACACACACAGCTATCATTCATTATACTCTTACCAGACACTTGTACTGTTATCTGGATCATCTTGTATAATCCACATGGCAATCCAAACTTTTATCACAGATGCACAATCTAGGGCCTGGACAGGTTGGGTCACCTGTCTCAAAACACTCCATGTAAGACAGAGCCGGGGCTGGTACCCACATGGTCTGGTCCCATAGGCCCGCCATGGCACACAGTCTGTGAAGCGCTGTTACCGGACCTGTGGCCAGGGCCAAGCTTTCCACTCATTAGCACGAAGAGTTCACTTGACTCGATTCCTTTGAATGAAGAGAAATACTACAGAGCATGACTGTTTTAGGTCATGATTAAGGCAAACCATCTATCCCACTCTGTGCCACATACCGAAAAGAATTAAATGCTTTGTCAGATCAACTGGATACTTCTAAGAATGACACATCCAGACTGTTCTCTTTCCCCTGACTTTTGTCTGGTGTCAGAAACCATGTGACTAGAGTCAGAAGCATGTGTAGGAAATCTGGTGTTTCTGGCAAACGCTTGCTTTCTGGTAGAGTTTCCTCACACATAGACCCAATGAGACACCCTGTTCTGGAGAATTAAAATTATTCTTCTTAAAGCTGTTTTTTAAACTAGGTTATTAAAAGCCACCTAAGCTATGTTTTCTCCTTTGACCTAACAGATGCTAGGAAAGTCATCTCTTCATCTTATCTTTTAGCTTCTTGCTCCTTTTACTGACTTATTAGCAATAACAGCAGTGAGTATTACGAATAGGAAGTGTGTCACCCTGTTGGTCATGTTTGCAATTTTCATGGCCTCATGTGACTGTCGACAGACCTGTGGTAATCTGTACTGAGCTAGCTGTGTGGTGCTGGGACAGCGCGTTCAGAGCTGGGGCTCTTGGCAGAGTATTTGCTGGTTGTATTCTTCCTTGGTGATCAGAACACTCTCACTGTGGCATGCCTTGTTAAAAAACAGATCCAAAAATGTAATCTATGATTTGGATATTAGCACAAATCATTTTATATATAATACTACTATACATATTATCTATGTGTCGTCCTATCTAATATGGCTGTTTTTACAAATAGACCTCTAAAGGTAATTGCAGTTCATTCCCTGCTTTGATACTAGAGGAATTGATACTAGAGGAAGTCAACTTCGGTTGGATCTGGGTTAAGAAAAAATAATTTTCATCAACTAAAACGCTTTTACTTATAGAAGGCGATCTAGGTACATCAACAGATGCATTTGATGCAAAACAATGCATTGGCAACCAGGGAACCACGAGGGGGGCAGCTGTCACATTGCCCTCCTGAGGTTTGCTTGGCATCCAACACTCCCTGCCAATGCAGGGTGCCCAGGGGAGTGGTGCTGGAGGCGCTGAGCCTGAGGAGAGGGTTGAGGAAGCACATTTTAGTGAGTGTTTGGTTTTCCCTGTCCCAGCTTTCAGCTTACTTAACAGTTGTTTTCCAGAAGTGCTCAAAATCACAGTCGGCTCCCAGAGCTGAAACTTGGCTTAAATTCCGAGTGAACTCAAATGTGCTGGCCGAGGACCCTGACCAAACAGAGCCTGAGCATGCTCCGTTTCTCTGGCAGGGGTGCGGGTGGCCAGGCGGAGCACTGCAGACAGCAGACCCTGGCCTTCTGCCACGGAGTGCACCAGGCTCTGCTGCCTCCTTCTGTCACCCTCTGACCCTCTCCTTTTCTCGGCCAGGAGGTTCATCCTTCCTTCCTTTGTTACAGAAGTTTTACCTAAGGGTTTCCACAGTGATTCTTCCCTCTCAGTCCTCCATTTGGAAAATAAACAGAAACTCATCTATGAATGTACATAATACTCTTGTCAGAAATACCCAGAAATAATAAAATGTGGATTTTAGGACAGTCACAGTTCTGAAAGATTGCTGATTTAGTGCCTTTCTTCGGGGTATGTAGTGTGACTCTACTTCTTTCATTCTGTTGTTTTCAAATGGCACCCGGGAAAGGGCTGGAGTGTTAACAGCAGATGCTTTTACACTCACTGCTACCTCCCTGGCTCTGAGGTGTTCCTTTCAGACAACCAGGGAAGCAAAGTGCCAGGCCCAGGTCTAGACCCCCCTCAGTAGCTGTTCCCTGTGTTGGATCTTGCCAGTTAATGCCCACAGCTTTTTGGTTTCCATTTAGTTCTCATCCACAAGGGCGTTGGAATAAGATGGCCGTATATTCTAATTTTCCCTGGAGCTAAAAAAGCAGATTTGGGTTACATCTACCCATTAACTTCAGTCTGGGGCAGTACCTACCATAGTCAGGGTCCCTGCCAGCCTCATGTCCTGGTGCAGTGGGTCTGTCTCCGTGGTACTGGCTGACCTCCAGCCATCAGCTGCTTCCAGGCCTTTCAGAAAGCCAAGGGAAGGAACTTCCAGCTCTCAGAGTGTAACTGAGACTTACATACTGTGACAGCCTTGAAGGAAGAAGACAGCTTGTGCTCAGCGATGTCAATAGTTCACTTCCTACAAAGGAGGGGCTCCTAGAACTGGACATGCTCTAAGGGGTGAGCGTGGTCGGCCTATAGAGACTAAGGAGGGAACTTCCAAAAAAAAAATGATTAGACTTCGAAAGGCTCTTAAGGAGTTCATCTGGCCCACACTTGCCTGATTATAAAAGTTACCTCAGTCTTTTATTAAGTAATGGAAATTCCTGGGCCCCACCCAGCCCTACTGAATCCTGAGCTCTAAAGAAGTGGTCCTTGGAATCTGTGTTTTTTGTTGTATATTTATTAACAAGCTGCCCAGGTAGTTATTAGGATCAGGCAAGTGGGGAACTCTGATGTAAGACAGTCATCACCCCCTACAGCTGAGGAAACTGGGTCAGTTAATCTGCTGACTGAGGTGCCCAGCCAGGGAACTGGCGAACGTGCATTTACTGGTGAAGTGATGAGAGTCGCCTAACCTGAGTATCATTTTCCCCATCTCTGTGGAGTTAGTGCCTGTTTCTCGGGGTTGTTACAAGAATAAGATGAGACGCTGTGTGATAGTGCTTTCCAAGCTGCAAAGGGCTACTTGAATGTCAGCGTTCACTGAGTAGCTAAACCAGGTGCAGGCCCGCAGCTCAGGCTCTACAGTGGGTCTTCGGTGCTTTGGTGAGGAAGTCTCTTGAACTTCTTTTCCTAAACTAGAAACCCCCTGTTTTTGCAGAATGCCACAAATCTCTTCTTCTCTGATAGTTTACAGTTTGGTTTTGAAGCTCGAGTTTTCCCAACCTCACAGAGAAAAAGGATCAGATTTCCAGTCACCAGCGGTGGTGGTGGGGGGCATATAGGAGGAAGGTGGTCTTGTGACTTCTAGTCACGAGATCCGTAAGTCCAAGGAATGTAACGTACAGCATGATGACTGCAGTCTAATATAGTATAACGTGACAGTTGTTTAGAGAGTCAATCTTGCGAGTCTGGTCACAAGAATATTTTTCTTTTTTTTGCTTTCTCTGTATGAGATGATGGATGCTCACGGAATCTATAGCGTCATCATTTCACAGTATGTGTAAGTCAAACTAGTCTGCTCTACACTTGAAACTTCTGCAGTGACAGAGGTCCACTACATCTCAAAACTGGTGAAAAATAAAAGTGCAAATGTTAACGTTTTACATTAAGCATTCTGATGAGCCACTAAGCGTTCAGTAACTCGTGGTGCAAAGCTGAGACTTAAACCCGTCATCCTCACGCAGGTGCGAAATTGAGGCAACTCTCGAGAGGCTGAAGAAACTCGAACGGGACCTCAGCTGTAAAGAGCAGGAGCTCAAAGAAAGGGAAAGACGTCTGAGGATGTGGGAGCAAAAGCTGACAGAGCAGTCCAACACCCCGGTGAGTGCTCCCAACAGGGTGGCTCAGTCCCCCCCCACTTAGAAGCTGTGGCCTAGCGGGGCAGCATGGCCGCCCTCCCTTGGCCCCCTCCCCACTGCCACCTCCTCACTTCCTGGCTTCTGCCTGCACGGGAAAGGGGCTGCGTTTACACTCAAGTAGCACACAGATCTAATTTCAATTAACAAAAGGCCAGAAATGTAAAAGAAAAGCTTAGCCTATTTCTGGCTCTTTCTCTAAGAACTGTTATTGTCAGTGTGTTTGTACGTTAGGATTACAAAAATAAAATGCAGTATATTTTCATACCATCTGTTAGATCCCCAAAACGTGTGCCTAAAGGCTGATTAACTCCACGGAGTCCATCAGTAATTAATAAGCATAATGCCGAGGCAGCTAGCTAAGAGTCTTGATGTGGCAGAACTTAACCAAGTCTTCCTCCTAAAAGCAAATTTAGTGACATATAAGTGACAAGCATTAATATTCCTTGCTCGATTTAGTGTTCTAATCATGGCAGCAAAAGATTGGAAAAGACTTCCCTTGAGACAAACCTCCAGTATTTACTACACTTAGGAAATACCTTGGTTTTCTTCCAAGTCTTCTTTTGAGAGGAAAATAAAAATTCTTTTTAAGGAATTCACTAAGTGTATATATTGAGCTTGTGCCTATATCTTGCTATATATTAAATTCTAATAAAATTTTTAGGATTCTTCCCTATTTTGAATGATTTATCATTTCAGGAATTAAGTTTATCATTGGCTTTTTCAGGGTTTTTAATGGGGAGTGTTTGTCCACTTTCAAATCACAAGTAATGGTGAGATTAGAGGTAAACTTGTGTATTTTAAAGTCATTTTTGATAGTTGCTGTGGTGGTCACACAAAAAAGATACTTAAATGCCCTTCACTTTAAAAAGCTTTCCTATTTTTAAAAGCCTTAATCTTCATTAAGCAGCCAGTGCCCAGTTGCAAAGTATTTTCCAGTGTCTAAAGAATAAAATAGTTTTGCCTCCTTTTCCAATTCATGTGGAGAAGCAACCTGATATCCACAAAAGGAAAACACAGTGAAGTTAACTGTTTTTTATCAGATTTAACTTTTTTCCAAAATGACTTTGGCTGTGCAGGGATTTCCAAAGTAAGGACTGAATTGCTACACATAAGACTGCCATGGGACATTAAAAGGTATCACAATTTATAAGTTAGTGAATTTAACTTGCCTCTCAAGAAGGAAGTGGAGGGAAGTCTCCTGTTCTGGTTGAATTGGTCCCAACTGGCAGACTCAGAAAGCATCGCCCTCAGGGTCTGCGAGGAGCACGGCTTCTCCCCCAAGTTTCTTCCCCAGCTAAGGAGAGGCAGGACTATGGTGGTCTTCTCAAGGCTCAGAGGTGGTTTTTTTTTTGTTTGTTTGTTTGTTTTTTGGTTTGGTTTTTTTTTAAGTACATTGAAATCTTAAGCTCTAAAGCACTGCATGTCTTGACTTCTTCTAAATGTAGCATTGTAAGAAAAAAACTCTAAACTACCTATTACAGTCTGCCTTAGAATCTTTCTTTGGTTTATTGGCATTAGTTTTGCTAAGAAATCATGGGCTGCCTTGCACACACTATTGCTCTTAGTAACATAGTTGTGTAATAAATAATGAAACTGTAGGAGTGCTCAGTAGGTTGTATGCTTGCATTTTAACTCCAGAAAACTTTCTGTAAAGGAACTGCTTCGAAGGCTACCATCTAACAATGGACAGCATGAAGCATGATCTCAGAGATTTTCTTACCCTTTTTTTTTTTTTTTAAACCTATGAGGGCTAAGTTTTCTTTACAGTATTTGCTTTTAATGTCTCTTCTGCTTAGAGCTGGTATTTCTGAAGGAAAGAAAGTTTGTGCTCAGGTATTTTCTAAGTAGGTATTTTCTTTCATCCTTACATCAGTTTCTAGTTGACTTTAAATGAGGTTTCTGAGAGAAAGATAAAATAAGCCTTTTTAAAAGGAAGTAGCTGGAGGCTTAGGCTTTCTGTATATATGTAGTCTCATCTTAATTATAAAAATCTAACATTTATGTAACTTCATAAAAGATGGAACTATTGGATTTATTTCAAGGAAGGATGCTGTTTTCCTTCCTGAAATTAAAACAGTTGAAATCATCTGGGCAGATGAATTCTCCCTACATAAATTCGGACAGTGTTTTTTTTAATGATTGTTATAGCTTGATGTAGAAATTTTATTGCTATTCAAAATAAAAACTTATTTGAGAGACATCTGTGTTGAGAACTTAACGTAATGTGAGGAAGGACCCATGAAATAATAAAATAAATCAGCAAGAAAGTGCTCTCTAAGAAAATCTAACAATTGAAAACAAATCTGAAAAGCTGGGAAGTTTGACTGCAAGGAAAGTAATATCCTGTTTCCGGTGTTAAAGGAGCTAAAGCAATTCTTTTCTTCCATATAACTGGTACTTTTTAACTGAAGCATATGAAATTCTTCATGAGCTAACAACTCTGGCAATCTTTTCCTAATAGAGTAAGATAACTTTTTAAAAAACTCAACTCTGGGGGCGCCTCGTTGGCTCAGTTGGAGGAGGATGCAACTCTTGATCTCAGGGTCATGAGTTCAAGCCCCACAGACGGTGTAGAGATTACTTCAAAAAACAAAAACACCCCCCCCCCCCCCCGCCAAACTCCAATTTAAAAATTAGGAAATTGGCCTTAAAATGTGTACTTACATCCAGGATGTTACGGTTACCCCATATGTTACTTGTACATTTTTTATCATAAAGTTACCATTATTTAAGCAACACCAAAAATATAAGCCTCAATTGCTTATTCCTCAAAAGAAGAGGCAGTAACCCTTTTTAGATCTTGCCAGTTCTGCCTCTGAAATATGATCAACACTTACGGGAACAGTTTAGCTGTTCAAAATAATTATATAAGGCAGAAAATAGATGTGAGAGGGGGAATTCCTAGAAAACAAATTCTGCTAAAAGAAGGACACTTAGAGAATAGAGCAAAAGGTAACAGTTTAAATTAATACTAATTTCCTCTCCTCCCAGTTGTCATCTGTATTTACATACTTGTTTATACTTAAGTATTAGAGACATCTAGAATTTGTTCACAAATGAATTATAAGTTGAATAACCAGTATTACATCTGGCTGTAATAAATAATAAATGGAAACCAGTGAATTCTAGACTCGTTTTTAGTTTAGATTCAAATAGTAATCTAGATAAAAAGGAGATTAATGGCCCAGATTTCCGTAGAAGGGTACTGACTACCGAACTGTTTTCATGCTTCCTCTAAGCCTTATTCTTTGGTACAAGGTTTCTTAATTTTTTTTTTTAACTTGAGATTTAATCTTTACTTAATTTCTTTTTTAATTTAACAGTTAGCTAAATGTCTCCGTGAAAGTGAAATTGGGGAAAATTAAGTACAGTCCTCAAAACTACTTTTGTTTTAAGTGAAATGAGAGCTTAAAACTTGGAACTTCTTCCCATTTGAAATTTGGCCTGTTGTGATGCTTTGCAAACTTTTGGTTGTGATTTACTCTGTCATTTATAATTTACGGCAAATACGCTGAAGCCAAACGTGCCATTAAATAAATTCTCCAGTAATTCCCTACATTCAATTGTTTCACTAATCATTTACCTTCTGTGCAGCACCCACTAATTTTGTGGTATCTGTTTGCTTTATTTAAATTGGTCCTAATTTCTCTTTTTACTTCTGTCCTTTCTTCCCTCATGATAGCTTCTCTTGCCTCTTGCTGCAAGAATGTCTGAGGAGTCTTACTTTGAATCTAAGACAGAGGAGTCAAACAGTGCAGAGATGTCATGTCAGATCACAGCAGCAAGTAACGGGGAGGGCCATGGCATGAACCAAAGTCTGCAGGCCATGATGCTGATGGGCTTTGGGGATATCTTCTCAATGAACAAAGCAGGAGCTGTGCTGCATTCTGGGATGCAGATAAACATGCAAGCCAAGCAGAATTCTTCCAAAACCACATCTAAGAGAAGGGGGAAGAAGGTCAACATGGCCCTGGGGTTCAGTGATTTTGACTTGTCAGAAGGTGACGATGATGATGATGATGACGGTGATGAGGAGGATAATGACATGGATAATAATAGTGAATGAAAGCAGAAAGCAAAATAATAAAATGGAAAATGTGTGGAAAAACGGAAGAAACTTGCTATCTCAGTCTGTACAAAAACCAGTAAGAAGTAGAAAACTGAGCACTGAATTTTTAGGCCAATCACATTTCTATGACAGTCATTTCTTGAATGATTTTACTTTTTTTTTTTTCCCTGCTTACAGAAAAATGGGGAGTTAGTGGGGGGAATTAAGGCAGAAGGGTATATTTAATGAGTCAGCAAATGTGGTGCCTGATTATAGAAATCTGTGATTCTATTACAATATAGTAGTTTTAACTAATTACATTGTGGCTTTCTTTTTTTTTTTAAACAAATACTTTAACGTTTGTATTTGACTTGATTTCATTTATTTAATTGCTTAAGAAGACTTACATTTTGAAAAAGCACTCTTACCTCCTAATTCTTCTCTGACACTGATTTTCCTGTAACACACTACATTTTTTTTTCTTATGGTAATACACTGCACTGTCAGAAATAATTGATAGTGACTACAAAATCTAACAATAAAAAAATTGAGATGAAAGAAGACTATAACAAATATTTCTTCAGAAATACCGAAACGCCACAAATTTTCAATACTTAATGGCACAACTACTCACAGTAAAACCTGAGAGATGTTCTCAGTAATACACTGGAAGAAGAAATACTCTCATTTGAAGCCAACAGCAGATGTTGCAGGCTTTCATACCAGTGCTAGCCCTGGAAGCTTCTGAACAACACTGTTATCTGAGGCTTAGTTTCTAAAAGGAGAAAGAGATGGTCTTAAAGGGCTGCTTGCAAGCTGATATCAAGTGGGGACACAGCCCTGCTCTGCACCCCCAGTGGGAAAGGAGCATCCTGGGTTCTAGATATATGTAGAGAGGTTTTAAAGAGGGAACT